AATGGATTATCCTTTGGGCTCAAAATATTACAGTGATTGGGCCTTGAATATTCAAAGTCTTATGCTCAGTTGTGCAGATTTTTGGCTGCTTTCATGTCTGTTGATGGTGATTTTCAGTGCTTTTTCTGAATTTTAGGAGAGACATGCAGAATAGCCTTGGAAGGGTTTTCCTCATGGAACCTCACATTCTAAGTGTACATGGGAGCCAGCAAGGAGTTAGAAAGCCATCTGCAAGGTTGTGGCAGAAACGACCTGACTCTTACTACAACTTTTAATAATCTACGTTGAGCAGTAGGAGAGAGAAGATTGTTTTAAGAAGTTTGAGCAGCCTTAGTTGAGGAACAAAAGGTGACTACCAAGAGGTTTTTAAATAATCAGGTTGGTAATTACTTCAATTTTAACAAGAATTTTATATCCACTGTGAGCTTTTCTTCAGTGATTCCATTTAGAGTATCTCCATGTGAGGATATGAATATCCTTCTTAAATCATGAAAAAAATCCTTTAAGACTGGTACCTTTCCCTTTTTCTTTAGCACCAAGAGTTGTAGAATATATGTGAATGCTGAGCACCACAAACCTCAGAATCTGTTCATGGAGGATGTCAAATGATCTAAATTGTCAAATGGCACAATCTAAATGTAGAGCGGAAATATCTTCAGCTTTGGTTCACAGATGATGCAATGTCCTGAGAGAGCATAAGTTTAACCAATTCAGACTGATGTCCAGAATCTGTGGTTGGGAAGGGACATATATTACATGTAATAAATGCTTTCTTGGCTTTGTCCTTCTCTCCAGTGATTTCTTCCATGGTGAAACTGTTGCGTTCTTAAATAATTTGAAGGAACTGCCTTGGTGTTGATAGCTTTGGCTCCTTTTTTTGTGTGTGTGATGGTGACAATTCTGAGGAGCTGGAACAGAAATAAAGCTTGCTTTATGGGCAGGAGGTAGGATTGGCTGTGGTGCAGTTGTTTCATAGTTATGTCAGGAAAAGCTTTTTTATATATAATATTTTGCTTTAAATACATGAAATATGGAGTATTTTTTCTGACTAGAGAATACAAATAAGGTCCACACAGGCTTGTGCAGTTACAACAACTGTATATGCAAATTAGATGCACATTTGCACAGCTGCACTTGTGCTAACAAACACCTAAAAGCCAGTCAGTCCATCCAATTTATGTTGCGTCGTCTCTGTCAGCCTAGCTTTCATCACCAATTACAGCTAACATCTGTGCCAGTACGCATGTGCGTCTAGCTGTAATCCCCTAACATGCTTGTTTTACATGCACACATCTGACTTTAAAAACGTCCTTTACATTTTTGGAAGCATACATCAGCTTCCTTTTATAATAGCTATCCTAAGTTATACAACAAGCTGTCTCAATGCTTCATTTGCAAGTTATGAGAAAAACTTAGAAACATATGGAGCAATGTAGACTAAATTATATTAAAAATACAAGTCTCTTTTTCTTCTTGAACCACAGTTGTATTGTCCCCGATCACAGCCAGGAGATGAGCGAGCAGAGAAAATAAATCCATATAGAAAAAGGTTTTATCATTGATTGTGAATTACAGAAAATGCCTTTTTTTTTTTCCTTACATGAAAGATTATTTTGAAAGTGAGCATTAATTTCTGTGACAACTGCAATGTTTTTGTCATTCAGGGGTAGTTACAGATTTTCCCTTGCTCTCTGCCCCTTACCGCCCTCTTGATCTAAGTCTCCTACTGTCATCTCCCTAGGACAATATCGTTCTGTTCTCTCGTTTGTATACTTGCTGCAACTTTCTGTGCACCAGTCGTGCTTTTACCCACAAATCTTACAGCACTCTCATTTAGTTCCCTTCCCTGGAAAATTGTGACCAACATAGAGCACAGTGACCCAAAATAGGAACGTAGCATAGCAAGGGGAAAAGTTTAGAACAACAGAAATTGGACGTGCACATGTGTCTTGCCGTAACTTGTTCTATCCTCCAGAGGGGACTCTGATGGGTTCGTTTTTCTCAGCTATCCAAGTCTCTAGTTCACCTTATTTCAAAACGCTGGTTCTTGTGATCTTTCCAGAATGTGGCCCCCCGAATGCCTTTCAGTCCTTGTACTCTCGTCTCTGCTCACCCTTTTCTTCCCTGGGGAAAAAAAAAAAAGACAAGCTCAGCAAGGTGGCATAGATAACTTGCCATTGTTACTGGTCCTGAATGCCTGTTGGTTTCTTAGGTGGGTTGCTGTTGCTCTCCTTGGGTTTATCTCCTGAGCATCTAGTAACTGAATCAACACATTACAAAAGGCAAGAGATAAAGTCTATGCTACTCAGACATCGAAACAGAACATACAGTATTAAAAGAGTATTATACGTAATTCTAAATCATCACAGTATGTATCAAAACAATGATATAAATTGTACATAAGGAGGATAGGTGTATACATTCTAAAGTTACTTAAGACTATTAATGCTCTGTTAGCTTTTGTATTAAAGCTCTATATACAAATAATGTGTAAATTATTAAAAGATTAGAGTGTATTAACAAACGGTTAATTAAGCATAATAGACTTCAAGATGTTAATAGATTATTACAGTTACATATATAGCCTTGTAGAAGACCTTGATATAGTTACAACTCCTTGTAACAAATACCAAGTTTACAGTATGTCCTAAAACAGCTCTTCATCATTTTGTAGCCACTAATTTACTCATAATGAGACCTAAAAATGCAGACATCCAGAACTTGATTGGCAAAGGACCAGTATGGCAGGAAACAAGTTTCTATTGTCAGTATTTCTTTATTCTTCTTTAGATAATAAACAACTTCGCATTGGCAAATGTGCAATATAGAATAGTCTTGCACAATCTTCTAACTACCCAAATCTCTTGTACATGAGAGCTCCAGCACTATGGATTTTCAGATGTTTTGACTGCTTCCTTCAGAAGAAAAACATTGTTTCTATTACCGGTATCACTAAGTGCAAAATTAGCACTGGGTAATCTGAGAAGCCAGTGTCCACATTCTATCCAATCCTTTCCATCAGATCACATTCATGTGGAAGAAATAGTGATCCCTCAGACCTGCTTGCCTTGTCCCCTTGCCATTTACTGACTGGTTTTGTGTGGAGGTTTCTTCTACACAGGCCAGATGAATTAGTATTTTGCAGCAGAGCATAGATTTTCTTGGCCAAGAACATCTGCGTGCATCTGTGAGAAAGTGCTTTTACACTTCTGCACAGCTTTTCTCTGTGTACGTATCAGAGCCCTTGGGCATAATGAATAGCTCAACACAAAACAATGAAGGAGTCCGTCTGAGATGATAACCTGGCTGTCCCCATAAGTGGATGTTATTTGGGGTTAGATGTGGGGAAGGAAGAATAGGGTGTTTCTGGTCCTATGACAGCTCTTAAAACTATGCTGATTGTCACAGTATCTCAGTGGGAAGCTGTGCATTAAGGGATGTAAGTAACATTTGCTATATGCCGTTTATTTTCTCATGCTGGCTTTGTTTCATGTGCCATGGGATGTCTTTCCTGGGCAGTGTACTTTTTCACCTGGGAAAGGAGGGGTTTGTTTGAATATAATTATTACTGTATATAAATATATTCTGGAGGATGCACATTGGTGGAAATCACCTTGCACTTGAAGCAGAAGGTGGCGAGATTTACAGTGATTTGTAAGTTCTCTGGGGAGTTCATTCTGCAGACTCAGACTGGCACCCATGACAGCTCTGCGAGGTGTACAGACAAGCTTTGCTTGTACTGTACAGTCTTATGCTCTCAAAGAGCCAAGTTGTTGACCACAGAATTCAAACAGACTTTTTGAACGCTTCTTGTTTTCAGTACAAAATAAAACCCTGTTCCAGGTGGAGGAGATACTACCTGTGAAAATAAAATGACAATGCTGGGCAGCAAGTGGGGCTGTGCTCTGCACTGTCTAGAGGCAGTCTGGATTTATCTAGCTATTTGCTGTCTGGGACAGTTCTACACAGCATGAGGTTTCTGGCTCTGTAACCATCTGCAATTCTTGGATTTTGTATCTGCTTAGGGCTTTTTTTCCTCTCTCTCTTTTGGTGGTTTTCTTTCCCGTCCTTACTCTGCCCGATTCTCAGAACACGGGCAATCTTCACAGAAACAGATGCTAAATAGTCTGTAGCAACAGTAAAGGAGCACCTGGATTGCTGTATTTTAACGTTTCTATTTTCAAATAAATTGTCTTGTATATATTTTAGTAAATGGTAATGGAAACAGAGGTGACGCAATAAATCAAAAAATTAAAAAATCAAACTCTACATCAGCATTTCAGACATGGACTCTTGACACCTAAAATAAAGAGTTGCTTTGGTCTGCTTCAACTTGTGTAGTCTAACTATTGGAGAGAGGCAGAAAATCAGAGTATAACTATTTTTCCTGTGTATTTCCTCTTGCCCTTTGAGGTTCAAGGAGACTTTGAACAGCACTCATACTTAAGCCTGTGGTTTGAAGATACAGTTTGCAGATGAGTGTGTGCTATTTTAGAAGGATTTTTCATTCTGCGATTTCTGCAGGTTGGCTGACAGTGCCAGCAATATGGCCCCACCTGCTCCAGTTTGCTTCCTTTGGGGTAGCTTCTGCTAGCAGCCACGATGGTCTGGGGTAGCCTTTGTTCCACCAGAATGAGGAGTGTAACCATAGCTAGCCCTGGAGAGGGGTGCATTGGCAGCAGGATACACAGCATCCCTCTGCTCTTGCTTCCCCTACAGGCCAGAAGAACCTGACCCATAACTTTTTGTACAGTTATTGACTCAAATCTATCCCTGGTGTTATCCCTATTATGACTTAATAGTCTGTGTTTGGCTCATTAACATTTTAATGACATTCTTCTTGAAGAGAGAATGCTTTGTGGAAATTGCAGATTTATGGTGTTTCTAGGAAGATAAGTTCATTTCCAGCTAATATGAACCACAGCTCACTGGGACTAATGTAATGCAGCCTGTGTTACAAGTGTGATTAGTTTTATATCCTATTTTCTTTCCCCCCTCAGAGGATTATGCCCAGCTGTGCAACATTCCTGTTCCAGGATCTCGACGGCCATATGGACAAGATGCTTTGGTTGACTTTGAGGAGCACTACACTCCAGAAACTAATCCATACTTTGTTGAAGACCGTAAGCAAGTTTCTCTGTTATGTAAAATACTTGAAACGAGGATTGTAACTTGGATTATTTCCCTGTAGCTGGCTTCATTCTTCTGTTTGCTTCTGAGTAATGTGGCCTATTTATGTTTTAGTTATTCCTATGACACTAGCTTTCAGTCAGGTGTTCTAGTTCAAGAGCCAGTGTTGTATACGAGTCCAGTTGGGCTCAGAGTACAATATTAATTTTTAATATAGTGAAATAGTTTGTGCCAAGTGTACTAAATTTGTATTTACCAACAGATTTACAGCTACAGGTCAAAAGGATTGCCAGTTTTCCTTCTCACAAATTAATTTTCCTTTGGAGCATGGGACAGATTTCTTCAGAGTGCATTTAGTTTAAAAGAAAAAAAATAAATCCCTTCACGCCAGCTTTCCATGATTTTCCAGCAGAATTTATATGGCGGAAACGGAAAGCAGGCAAGTCGTTCTCACTGAACGGAGAAAATGTACAGCGCAGTATGATCAGAGAGCATGCATGCATGTAGCCTTCAGGCTAGATGGAATGGCCTGCCGAGCAGGGTGTGAGGGATTGTATACAGCATCTCAGTTGTACTGCAGGAATATCAGGGTTCTTTACGGTCTGGCACAGCTCATTGTTAAGACTTGTGGGAGAGGAAGGCTTACAGATCTCAGCATCTTCCTCAAAATCAGCCACCCTGTACAGATCCAGCGTATTTCATCATAGTTTTAGAGAAGAAAAGTGGAGCTATCAGAAGGAACTGGTAATTTCCCGTGCTTTAAACACATGGGCTACAAGTTGCCACTACGCTCTTTCCCAAAGTGCTTCTCCTGAACAAGGAGTTATTTTCAAAGTAACGATAATAGGTCAAACCAGGGCGGGAGGATTACAACACACTATTAGAAGGGTGATATGCATTTCTTGCGCACATTGCAATTTATGCATTTATACAGACTACACAAATCATTTCTATCTAGCATCTAAATGACCTTCTAGCTCTACACAGAATTGTAAAATGTCTTTTTCTTTATATCCAGGTGATTTTAATTAAACAGTACTGCGTGTCGATGTCTAATTGAAATGTCACACAGATGATAACTACCAAACACAATGAAAAGCCCAGAAAGATGACAGGGTAACCAACGTGATAGATAAAATACTGAGTGGGAGAGAAGCACTTCACAAGTTACAAGCAGCGGTGAATAAATAAGATAAAATTGTGGACAGTTTTGCATCCACAGCTGAGTCCACTGTCTTAGGGACAGAGGCTTAAGAGCTCATGTTTCTTGCTCCCATCCTATCACTGAATTGGATACAGTGGCAAGCAAATGTGTAAGAAACCCCAAAAACAACAGCTGTATGACTCTGTCCTGCTTAGAGGCATATTCCCTGACAGATACAGTTGCCACATGTTTAGGGCATCAAAGTCTTCAAGGTCACAATCCTGCTGCGGTCTGCATGAGGAATACGACAATACCTCCCATCCCATGGCAGGGCCATGTATTTCAATGTAATATTTGTCACCTGTGTGTAAACAACTTCTACAGAACCAAACACACGTATTAGAATTACAACCTGGGTCCCATCCAGCTGTTTTGAAGGAGAATATTTTGTGAAGTAGAACTTTCTGTGAGTGATAAATATTTTGGTTTTAGCTAGTTAAAATTACAACATACTGTATTTATGAGAGAGAGAGGAAAAAATATGTATATATGTGTGTACATCTATATATGTGCATATATTCTATATGTCAAATAAATTATGCCTTTTCTGTATTTAAAAAATATCTATGTATTGGGGGGTACCTTTCACTTTCTTGGTACTGTTTTCTAAATTAGCACTTCTTAGTTAGAATTAGATCTTCACTGTAAAGGACCATCATGAGCCCTCTGCAAGCTCTATTGAGGACTTGAGAACATAATGAAAATTGGTCAAGTTTCTTACAACATTGTAACTATACCTCACGACAGTCTGCTTAATATCCTGAGTACTGTTGCACTGAGATGTGATTTACTAGGTTCATGGAAAAGATTGTAATGTTACCCACTTAATGTACACTTGTATACATCCTATGTATGTGTATGTTCTTGAGATGTGGCATATGTCAGCAAGTACTTATGCCATGTTATGTGTTCAACATCTCCAGAATTTATTCAGTGTATGACTGACCAGCATGATCCTTACTAAGAATCCCATCATGCTAGAGAAAATCCAGGATAGAAACAATGTGTGTAGTCAAAGAGCAGGGGGAGTGGAAATGACAGTACAGAAGTTAAATGGAGGACGATACAGAAAGGGCAGAGTAGGAAAGGCAAAGCAGGACAAGAGAAAAGAGGGCCTCAATAACCAAGACAGGATGAAGTAAATATAAAAAGACAGGAGAACAAGCACAAGGAAAGGGAGAAATTCATATTGCTAGGTAGCATTGCAAATCTACGTGTCACAACTGTTGCAACAATATCAATCAGTAAACAGATTTTAGATAAACCAATCGTTTGTTTGTGGAGTCACTATATTAATTATATTAGTTATGGGGCAGATAGGGAGACGTATCCTACTCTACTCCACTCCAGCTCCAACTTCCCCTCCATTTCTATGCTATATATTCGTTATGCTGGTAAACCTACAACTCCCAAATGCTCTTGACTTTTTCCTCAAGTCTTTTTGATGTGATGGGCTGCCATCTGCAGTCCTGTTACATCACTGCTCCATGAATAGAAAGCCAGTTAAAAAACTTGTGCAGGACTAACAGGAGTGATTCAGTCCTAGAGAGAATCTCTGAACATGTAAAAATGTCAAATAATTTTTTAAGTATAAATCCTTCCTTATACATAAAAGCATAGCTGTCAAAAAAGCCTTAAGACAGGGAGTACAAAAGGCATTGTACAAACCAGTGAATGCAAAGACAACCCTCTAGCTTTGACTACTGACCATCTAGAATTATGACAAGGAGCAATTGGTAGATTATGGGTATTTGTACTGGCACCAGTCACTGAAGTACCAGCCAAAGGGTTATTAACCAAAACCACAACAGGAAAGCAGTCTCTGATTTCTTCTTACTTTCCTTAAGGCAGTCGAGATTGATTTTTTTTTTTTTTTTTTTTTTAAAATACGTTTTCTTCTAGATCAATTAAAATACATCTCTTCTCCCCTACACACACCTTATTTTTCTAGAATATTGTTTTAAGGAACTTTTACTGCAAACTGCACTACCACCTCTTACCTTTGTTTCCATGAAGGTTGATACACATACCAATTCAAATAAAAGGTGCTATTTAGAAAACACTGATTTATCCTTTAAAAAATATACTGTCAAATTATGCAATTTCCTTTACAAAAAAAAAAAATCACAGATTTTTAGCACAAATTAAAAACTTAAGAGTTCACAAAGTAATTCAGTTTTCATCTTGAAACATATCACAGCACTTTTCTAGTGCATTTAAAACTCCAGATGGTGCAGAACTGCTAAAGCTGACCTATTTTCTCCAAAGTCAAGTCACATTCCAGTAAACTTCTGAGAGAATTTCAGACTCTCACTATACATTTGGGTATACTGATTCAACAGCTCTGTAACTAACTTGTTTTCAATTCTTTCTCCACCCAGGTTTTCTGAACAGCTTTGAGGAGTTACAAGCAGAGGAATGTGGTATTCTGAATGGATGTGAAAATGGCCGATGTGTAAGGGTCCAGGAAGGCTACACCTGTGACTGCTTTGATGGTTATCACCTGGACATGGCCAAAATGACTTGTGTTGGTGAGGATAGCATATTACTTCATCTTCTTTGTTAGTCTGTCAGTTTACTCAGTCACTTGACCTAAGGAGGGGCTAGAACAAAGGGGTTACAGGTGATCACCTAAATTATATTAAAGATGCCAACGTTGTTTGATTTACTGCAAAGGCTAGTAAATATTGTTAAAGAAATAACTACGTTGGTGTTCCTCAGTTCATCTTGGTCATTACAGCTGTGTTCAGTTACGTGCCTAGAAATGAGCAGACACACATTTGTGTAATGAAGCTTAAACTTATATCAATAATTTAACACTAACATATACAGAACAAATGTTTTTATAAGGCTTTAGTGAGCTAAGAGGATGGAACTGGATCCAGAGTAGAAAAGTAATTTTAAGAGCAGATTTTTAGAGTGGCTGAATCACCTAAATATGCAGATAACCACTTGGTGGGGTTTGGTCCCTGTTCTCACTGATTTCAACAGTCAACAGACCTCACTATTCCTCTCACTCTCCAGCTAGTAAATCTGCACAACTACTAACCAGGACATCTAATGACTATGTCTTCAATTAAAACAACAAAACATGGGAACAGCAAGTGTCAGTGAGAAGATGAAGCAAAACAACACCCCCCAGCGTATAAGCCTAGTAGAGACGGTGCGCGGGTATTTGCATTTAAGGTCTATACTAACCTTGCTTAGCATTATGCTTCATAACCCACAGCTGAGGTCTCCCAGCTGTATCATGATAAAATGCCTGCATCCCTTGCAATCTTTAGGACATTACGGCAAGCTGGCCTCCTTAGTGAGAAAAGATGTAGCTTCCTATTTCAGGCCAGTGCTGCACAATATTGAGTGCAGGTAGTTTGCTGTTCACAATTTAGTTGACAACACCGACAGCTCCTAAAGTATTTCGTCTTTTAAAATACAGATATTATACTAGGAACTTAGAGCTTCTTTCTTATAAGCCACTTTTCAGTCATCACATAAAAACCTGTAAGTGATTATTAAATTTTTGTTTTGCAGCTTAGGCTGTATTTGGACTTGGTCATCTAACAGTTTAAGGCCATGTAATACACTGTTATTTCCTATGGTAACTTCCACCTCTTCCCAATAAAATACTCTTCTGTTATAGCTTTTGACCCAGCCTAATTCCACCTGATCTGAACTGCAAATGTAGTTCTCAGTGTATTCATAGAGCATATTCTACTCCTGACAATGCTGGAAATACATAAGTTCTACCTACACACCAGACTTAAGTGCGTGTGTTTTGATGTCCCCTTTTTGCAGATGTGAATGAGTGCAACGAGCTGAACAACAGGATGTCTCTCTGCAAGAATGCCAAATGCATTAACACAGAAGGTTCGTACAAGTGTTTGTGTCTCCCAGGGTACGTACCTTCAGACAAGCCAAACTACTGCACACCGCTGAACTCAGAACTAGACAGTGAACTGGAGTAGAGGAAAATCTCCATATCCTAAGCCCATATACTCTGCACTGTATAAAGAAAAAGAAGAAAAGTATTTAACTTGAGAAGAGAAGGCACCAGAGTAGCAAACGTAAGGGGAGAAAAGAATTAAAATGTGTCAAAGGTGAGACATGATGGGCTGACTGTATATCAGCTTCACTGAAGTGACAGACCAAATGGACACATTATGCTGTATGAAAGAACCAATCAAGTATATAGTGTGTTCATAAGAAAAAAAGTATCTTTGAAAATAAGCAAAAACAGTGCTGTTATTTTAAACAGAAGAGCTTTGGTTTTTTTGTTTGTTTTTTTTTTTTTTTTTACTATTGCTTGATTAATTTGGCATTTAAATAGTGATGGAAATATTTTATATTACTACGTCATTTTTTGATTGTTCAGTTCCTTGCCTACTGTTTCTTTTCAGACCTTTTTTCTGATCAGTACAAATTCTATGATACAGATATTCTTAGGCCATTTTATAAGAACTGTTACACAGGGTAATGCTCCTCCTTCTCTGGAACATTGGTCAGTGACTTTTTTTTAATTTGCTAGTTGTCTGCCCTGTGGAGCAGGCACCATTTGTTTTCAAATGTTTATATACCTTGGCGAAAAGTCCTTATATTCATTTTGTATTCTGTATGGTTGTTACTGCACTTAAAGTCTTTAGAACCTTTCTTGCCAAGTTCAAAGCTGCTAGTGGACAACATTGGATTCCTTTTGTACATTAAAACAAAAGATTTTAGCTCACGTCTGTATTGTAATGTGTAAATTGAACACAAGAGAGATCTTGTATGATTACCCTAACATATTAAAGCTGTATATTAAAACTCAATAAAATCACCTTTTTTTTTTTTTAGAAAAAAGCTATTTACTAATTGTAGGCGTTTTTCTTCTTTTATTGGGGTTTATGTTACAAGAATCAATCCCTCAGGTGTTTACAGTACTAGAATTAATTTACATTACAATAGTTATAAGTTGTCTGGCTGGTTTTTCCTTCTCATGCTGTTTTAATAAGACCAGAATCTGAATTAGTTGATGCCTGAAGTTAGGCTTCCGGAGGGAAGATTTGAAACACAGACCTACAGAAACTGTTTGACTTGGAAGCTGATTCCCATGGAATTTTTCTTCTTTCCTGGTTTAGGCATGTTTCCCACTAAATCTGCAAATAAGGCTCTTCAGTATGATGGCCTGGTTTTCAGAAAATACTGAAGAGAAGGAGGAGGATTTCCTTTTCTTGATGAACTGTACCTTCTCATCATCTCTATTTTTCAGTGGAAGGAGAGAAAAAGATTAGGAGACTGACAGATGTTTCACTTTGACCTTCTCCAGAGTGAAGGAGTTTGCTTTGGAAATCCCGAAACAGGTCCTTTTGATATTTTCCAAATGAAACATTTTTGCTGTGTCTTTTAGACCTGCCCTGCATTAAAAGGAAAGGGATAACATGAGACTTTAAAAAGTGGGTCAGATTGGGTCCAATTGTCCGAAAATTAGATTTTTATTTCTCGATTCACCAAAAGAAGAAATACTTGTTTTGGTTCTGAATCAAATTTCTTTTCCAATATTTAGGTCAGCCACTGAACCAAAAATATCATCAGTTGTATTCCTTTCAGTACTGCGCACTCAGTAGATCTCATTAAAGCCCATGTGCCTGTTAGCGTGCAGAAGCATCTGTCCTTCCCAGGGCACCTCCTCTCTATCTGCTGGAATTTAACACTAGGACTAGTGAAGATACTGTACGTCTAAGATCTGATGGTATGTTAAAATGCAAGAAAAATTTCTGAATAAAATTGTGGGGGGAGGGATCTTTAAGGAAGAGACTCTTTGTGAAGTGCCCAACTTCCTTGACTTTTCTAGAATTAAGCAGGAGAGGGGTGGAGGGCCAGTTGCTCTTAGACAAAAGAGTACAAACACTACAGTTGGTCTATAATTGCAAAAAAAAAAATTGATTCTTGCTTACCTTCTGTGGTTAAGGAGGAAGGAAGGAATGTCTGGTTTTACTAGGGAGTTCCATAACTAAAGAGTTCTTAGTTGTCCTGCTTAAGGTTAATCCTACGATCTTAATAAAAACCAAAGTCACAGTTACAACCTTTCACTGGATTCAAGATGAGCTCTGCTCTGCTTTCAGCTACCATGAAAATTCATAGGCAAGACAGTGCTCCCCCGACTCCCACCTCCAGACGGCCTCCTCCTGCTTCAGAAAGTGGTTTGTTCACCTCCGAAAGACGGCTTAGGCCCCAAAGCTGCCATTGCAATCACCACCACAGCCTCGGATTTTTGACATCCCAGTTCTCCTTCAATCCTTCCCCAGCTAGGGAGTTAAAACGGCAGTACATGTCTTCGCTTTTCCTGGGAGTACACCAGTATGACAGCTGAGGAAATAACACTCACACTTCAGTACCCTTAGAAGTCTTCACTTGGGGACAACCACTGTACTGAACATGTAATTCTGAGCCAGAAGATTGGCTCCTTGCTGATTTATTACATCTTTTTAAAACAACAAGTTTAGAATAGTCTGGGACTTTGCCATTCTCAGACAATATACACTCCAACCCCCTTACTTTGTATTATTTCAGACAAAAAAAAACAACCCAAACCCAAGCTGTTCCATGAGCAACAAAACTAAAACGAAGCCTGAATTCCTATAACCTTTCCTCGTAACTCTCTCCTCAGCGGACTAACTCCAGCTCCAGCTCCTTGCATCTCTGCCACTCTCTACAAGCACAGGCAGCACCCATCCGCAGCTTGGGTGCCAGGACAGGGTGATGAATGCACATGCATTGACACAACTGCTGCCAAACCAAATGTTGTCCATGCTCTCAGCAGGGAGGGTTAGTTGAATCACTTGTCTCTAGCTGTTCATCAAACTTCACAGACCTCAGATTGTACTGATCTTTTCATCCCATTTGCCTTACACACATGGTTGAAAGCTACGAGGTTAAAAGCTACCAGTAGGTTCAGAGAAATGGCATACACTGGCTCTCATTCCACAGAAAACCAACCAGCAAACCTAAGCCTAAGTGGCCTCTTGGCCTATCAATTTCTGTTACCAGCAATTCACAAAAGAGGTTTTGGTGTGTCCAGCCACCTTCCATCTTCCCTGCCTGATTCAAGAGGGCAGCAGCTGACCCAAGCCCTGAGTGAAGCTTGAAAACATTTTTCTGGTTCGATAGCCATGTCCTCATCACAGCCGCACTCTTCTATTACAGACACTATATAAGCAAACAACATACTTTGTGCATGCTTCTGCCTTTCCCTTTTGCCTCTTCTTACCTCTAAGATGCCTTAAAACACACAGGGAGCCAAAAGCAGACCAAACAGCCTAAACTCCACTTACATTCCAGTGCTTAGTATTCCACGTTGCCTGGATCCAGGCCTTCAGCAATGCTTTAGCAAAGGAACCACAATTGAAGGAATTAAGTGAAATTCAGCCGATCTGACCTCAGCCTCTAGAGCCCACCTACTTTGCCCCAGTGTAGCAAGGCTGGTTCTGTCATTTCACCTGAAAAGCTGCAGGGCTCAGGAATACAATGTTGATTGATAGTTAAACAAACATTTTCTTAACATCATTAAGACGAGGGATTGGACACCATGGATGTAGCCATTTTTTGTTACAAGAGCTGCGGTTTAGGTGAGAGCCCTAAAAATACAGAAACCACCACGTACAATTCCATGATTCAAGTTTCTGAGTGCAGCAGAGTCTGGAACTGATTACAATTTATACCAAATGGCACCAATACTTTTTACATCCATGTGGACCCTTTTAAAAAAAATATTAGTCCTTTTTCAGCCAGCCATTTCCTTGCTACAAAAAATAAAATTGCTGACATGGTAGAACTGAATTCTGCTAGTTCCCTTCTAATGCTGGTGTGTTAATGAGAATGAAGTTACTACAGAACTAGAGTGACACACATTTCAGCTAGAAAGACATTTGATATGAATAGATGCTTTCATGTTGGGATGCTATTCAGTGAAAAATTAGCCAATGTTAAAACTATTCAAAGTGAGTGCTAACATTCCTTGGGAAAAAACAGTCACAGCTGGACAGATCATTTCAATCCACGAGACAAAACTGGCAGTCATGACAAATATTCAGCTAGTCAGTGGCAACTGACACAAATAAATTCCTGACTAAGAGAAGTCCTAAAATGCTAAAGGCGCCAAAGTGATTGTCATGACCTATTAGCTCCCAGTGATCCTCACCCTCATGGGGGTTTGAATCTGAGGTTTGGGTTCCTCAGTGCCCCTTGAGCGATGTCCATATGGCAGCAGAGGGGGTCCTGGCTTTGGCACTCTTTTCTAACTTCTCAAAAGGAAAGGTGACAGATCCCATTAGAGCGTGTCAGGGCCCTGATCTGGCCAGCAATTGGACCACAGTGCATTCCTTCAAAGTGCACAGCAAACTTAAAAACCCCACTGCTGCCTCTAAGAGAGACTACAGTATTGTTCTTTTAATAATGCCACCCACTTTGAAGAGTAGTTTGTACTTGCTGGGGACTCTAACACCAAGCAGGCCAAGGGAGCTATTAAGGAGCAATTCAAGCAAAGAAGAGGTGAATTGCTGTGTGTTACAGAGGCTACTGCTCACTTCTGAGATCATTATTTGGTATTTATATAGCTTTTTCTATCAGAAGATCTGAAATTTACCTAGGGAAGCTAAAGTCCAAAAGAGAAGCAGAATAACTAAGAGTGAATGAGGAAAATCAGCCATTTGCTGAAGGCTTCCCCATGAGTGACGATGTCAGCTTGTGAGCGAGTGACAGCGTTCTTTGGGAGAATGCCAAGGACCGCACTACAGTCACTGCATTTGCCTGCAGGAATAACCTCACAAAGCAGGAGAACTAGAAAATTTGGACCCTCCTGGGGCACCACCTCCACAGCTGGCACAGGCTGTGTTTGCACACCAAGCTGTGAAAAATCTTGAACCGCAACACCACCCCACCCCCGCCAACCTCTATCATTTGAGCACCCATGTGCCAAAAAGAGAACGTGTTGAAACAGGATTATCCTGTGACGACCTGCATTAATAAGTGATTTTACTATCTGGTGGGGAAAGAATGGCGTAAACCAAAGAAATGCAGGATGTCAGCCAGATTTCCTTCAAGACCACTGGACCACCAGATATCTATTTTGACTCAGAGACTCTTAATGGCAGTCTTCAGGCTGTATGTTCTGTCCCAGCTGTGTCTAGGGCCTGTGATTGCTCTGCTCTTCTCCCTCTCAAGCTGCAGGGCTGGGAAGATACCTCTGTGCCTCAGCAGCTAAGCAACCTCACTGAACTTTGAAGTTTGCCCTGCCCAAAGCAGGAGATTGCACTAGGGGCCTCCAGAGGCCCTTCCAAACTACATTTTTCCATGAGAGGAAGCTGTGACCTGACACAGCAGTCTCTACTCTCTATCCTATGTGAGACAGGGAAGCTGACAGAGGGGACATGACCCCCTTCGCTTCTTCTCCCACCTATGCACATGCCAGGAGCGTGCCTTTCACTTTGGTGAAAACAGAACACCAATCTGCTCAGCCCATCTCAGAAGAATCCCATCCAGAAGGAGCATTACACACAATGTGCACTGTTGCTTGCTATCAACCAATATGTTCTTGAAGAGTTAAAGTGACAACCTCAGGTAGAAGGGAAGTTCTGCAGTAAAGTTTTTGTCCTGACAAAAGACACAGAGGAGCGAGGAAATTTCTTTCTACACTGACTTTCCCTTCCCCTCCAGTCATGCTTCACCACACACTGCTTTCCATTAGCTCTGAACCAAGGGGGATGGAGAGGATACTGCTAGCCAGCATGGAAAATTTCTACGTGACAATTTCAGCACCACCTCCAATCTCTATCTACTCTCGCTGCCAGGATCCATTCTGGGC